CCCAAATATAACTGCTGACCCAACCCGACCCGGCCTGACCCGCCTCTCGGACTTTTTTTTTATTTTCAGATACAAAAACTATACAATTGTCTTTCAAATATATATTATTTTAATAATTGATTATAAACTTGTGATATAATTAAAAATAAATAAATTTAAATTCTTTTTATAAAAATAACTTATTTCAAAAACTGAAAACTGTTTGCGAATTTAAAATATTATCTTAAATTTAAATTGTTTCTTTAAATGGTTATTATAAAAATAAAAAAAAAAGTTTTATTTTGGATTTTATTATTTTCTTTTAGTTCTTAGATTATAGATTAAACTTATTTTTATTATTATAATATGTAAAGAATTTATTTTAATCTTTACTAAATATTTTTTTAATACACTAGTTTAAATATAGACAATATATTATACTAAATAAAAGAATATATTGTAAAAACTAAAATAAAATAAGACAGACTAAAATAAAAGTTACAAGCATTATTTATAATAAAAAAGTTATAAGAACTAAAAATATATTTAAACTATTTTTTTTAAGTTTCACAAAAAAATAATTGGTTACTTTAATGAAAGAGTTAAAAATAAAACTTAGTTGTCTACGAATAGAAATTGGGATTAAACAAGCATATATCCTAGATTTAAATTCTATTATTGTTGTTATAATTTTAATGATGAAAAAAAGTTTTAAAAAAATAATAACTTTATTAAAAATTATTTTTTTATTTATGCAATAATAACAATTGTAAACTAATATTAATTAAATGATTAAAATATAATTTAAGAAATTAACAAAACTAAATACATGGCCTCTTGTTGTTCTTGACTAGAGCTCCATCGCCTATCCTGATTTGTTCTCATGTTCGTTACAATCATTACAATTCAACATAAGGAATGTAGGGTAAAATTAACAAATAAATATAAGACACATATGAAAACAACTTTTAGTCACATCACAATTTTTAATCCCATTGAAAACAACACAAAATTTTTGACAAAATGTAACTTACTACTTCATTCAACTTAACATGTTTCACATATATATCTACTTAGAGATCTCCAACATCTTGGAAAATAATTTATTCACACTTTTACTTCCAATAATTTATTCACATTTTTACTCCTATGAAGTGGACATTCTAACACAATAATCTTAACCTATATAAGGAGGTGTTTATTTTGCTTGATTTAAGTATATCCTCCCTAACTAATTGTTATTTTAAAGCTCATATTTATCAATAATTATTTTTAAATCAAATTGAAATTCCTCAATAGTGATAGGCACATACAATATTAATAATGATCAACATTAAAAAAAAAATCTTAATTACATTAGTGATATTAACACTTTGATAAGTAATAATAGTTTTAGGAGAAGCTTTAGATATTACTTGTAATCAAGGACTTAACAACCAAACAAAACTCTCATATGTTTCATCTCATAATTATTAATGATTAACTCATATGAATGGAACAAAAGTAATCTTGTATTTTTTTTCCAAATGTGTTGAATCAAAATTCACCATAGTACCAAAATATTTGTAAGTCATTTTAGATTTTCAATCAGCTCGAAAATAATTTGCTAATTATCATTTTGCATCCATTAAAAATACATGAAAAAATCAATTGACAATTCTTAAAATATGATAACAACAATTGCACATCCCTTTTTCCAGTTGTTTTTGTCTATTTACAGTTAAGTAATTGATAATATCTAAATTCAGCATTATCAATATTTCCACTTCAGGTACATCTAACATATGTTATTTTATTAGGGCTCAAACCATAATCACAAAGCTCATCAAGAAGTCTAGATTTCATTTTAGTTTTGTTTCTATGCACTCAAAGAAATTGTGAATTTATTGGAGAAAATAATTCATGATTAAGGTCTTTTAAAATTCTATAAATATAAATAATCCATCCATATTTAGTTTTCTTTACATGTAACATTGTCTTTCATCTTATCCTTCTTCCATCATGCACCCCAAGGTTATCATTTCTCCTTTTTTTTTCTCAAAACCCCACTTTTTGAACAAAAAAATCTTTTGACCAATCATCGTGCCATTTGTTCTTAATTTCATAATAGGTCTTGTGCCAAAACTAAAACCCTTATTATTTGCGTGCCTTGTGTAGTAATTTGTTGCATCTTTAATTGATGTAAACTTCATTCCTTTAGACATCTCCAATGGAGGCTTGGTAATTCATTATTAAGGATCTACATCAAGAGCACCTTCAAGTATACTTTTAGAGTTGACCAACTTATAAATTTTGTACACTTATTATATATAGTTCGTTATAGTAGTAAAGATATTGTTAACCTGTATCTTAGATTTAACTAATAACAACTTGTATCATTACTGTACAATCATGAATTAGTCAAAGCTAAATTCATTCGATCACTACAAAACAAGTAATGAAAAAGTTAAGTATTTTAAACTTAATTTTAGATAATTAAGTGTAAATCAAAAAGTTAAATTTGAATTAATATTAATGACATTTAAATGTATTGGATAGGTAAAGGTCATGAAAAGATAAGTATTTTAAAATGAAGAATAATGTGTTGTTATGAAAGTGACAGAACTTTTCTACATATGTAACTCAAATTCATAAAATAAAGTTTTTTCTCACATGATTTTAAAATTTTTATGGGGTCAAATTCGAACCTAAGCTTATACAAAACTAAAATCAAACCTCAAATTTAATAAACATGAACTATTCGAGTTAATTTTGGACTTAATATTATAAGGTCAATATTGAACTTAGACCTAAAATACATCATAACTAAATTAAGGTTAGTCATTTATAAATATTTTAAGCTCTTTTGTTTTTCCAAAGCTCAAAGTTTGAGGCTTGTGTATTGTCCAAGAATGTATGTAACCACTATCTATCCAATAAGTAACTGCTCATTTGATAGGTAATTGTCTATCCTACCAATATAAAACATAAATATTATAAAAAAAGGAGTACGATATAGTGTAGGCTAACTTCGGTTCTTTATCACTTTCCTTTAATTAATCACTCATTAACTTGATCATTAAAATCATCTTTACATATAGTTCCTTTTTTTGTGATTTTGAAACTAGAAGATCATATTCAGACAAAGATCAATTAAGTTGTGAGAAGATTGGAAATCCTTTGTTTACTTAAAGAGAAGTACTTTTTTTGTAAGTATAGGTTGATTTAGTCATTTTAAAATCATGACTATTTTCAATTTTGATACATGATTTTGAATTATTTTTTAACTGATTTAAGACATAAAACTTATCTTATTAAATTTACTTGCATAAAAATTGTTAAATACAACTGAAATGTGAATCAAAAGGGTCTCATGAAAGGTGAAAATCATGTAAAAAATAGTCATAGGAATAATAAAAAAAATTAAAATGACTTAATTATGTTTTTAGTCCCTTAAATTTGAAGTAAATTTATTTTTGGTTCCTCAAAATTAAAATTGATCTTTTTAGTCATGTAATTTAAAAAAAAAACATTACTTTAATCTCTCAAGTCATAAGTAATATATGTGATAATAACAAATTTAAATAATTATGCAAGCATCAAGTTGAGTTTAATATAATATTTTTACTAACAAAAATATAAGTAGGTGAACTTTGTATAACACAATGATTCACAAATTCACTAATAAAATTTAAAAATAAAAAATATTATTTTTTTTCAAATTATAAACACTAAAAAGATCAACTTTAAATTTAAGAGATTAAAAATAATTTTATTACAAAATTGAAAAATAAAAAATATATATAAGAAAAACATTATTTAGAAAAATCCAATTGATCTAATTTAAAAGGCTAAAAGTCTATTTTAGTCCCTTATAATAATTATTTGTTTCAATTTAGTCTCACTTTTATTTTTAGTCTCAATTTGATCCCTAATAAATTAATTAATTGCAATGTCGGACTTCCGTCCAAATTATTTAGACGGAATTAACTGTTGGTCACATGGATACTACGTGGATGCCACGTGGAAGCCACGTGGATATCAAATTTTTGTCATGCATCTGGAATCAAAACGGGCCGTCGTTTAGATGCATGAAAAAAATAAAAGTCGTTTAGATGCATGAAAAAAATAAAAGTAAATAATTTGATATCAATTAAATTAAGCCCGTTTTGATTCCAGATGCATGACAAAAATTTGATATCCACGTGGCATCCACGTAGTATCCATGTGACCAACAGTTAATTCCGTCTAAATAATTTGGACGGAAGTCCGACATTTAATTAATTTATTAGGGATCAAATTGAGACTAAAAATAAAAGTGGGACTAAATTGAAACAAATAATTATTATAAGAGACTAAAATACTATTTTAGCCAATTTAAAATGATAAAGTAAATATTTAAAAAGATAAAATAAAAACTTAAAATAAAATAAAAGATTAAAAAATGACTTACCCTTTATTTTATCATATCTCATCCTAAGTCCTAACTAGTATCTATTCGTGCAGCTTCTTTTTGATACAACTGGAGTGAAAAGACATATATATCCCCATGTATATCCAGAATGTTCTAGGCAAGGCATGACGCATGACGCATGATGTATCCTTCTTTCCCTTTGAATCTATAATACTAGAGTCCAGAGAAGAACACTCTACCGGTGTCACTGCGAATCTGAATCAACATCAACATCAACATCGAATTGCATCGAATTCTCAACATGTTCGGAGTAGTTTTCCCCAACCGGAGCTTCCCCATGGACATCTCAACCTTCGCTCAAATCGACACCTTCCACTGGCTCCTCGACATGAACACTTTCGTAGGTAACATTAACCCTAATCTCAAAACCCTATTTCCCTGCGCACATTAGCTTTCCATTCCCCTAACTCTCTAACGTGCGCAGGCGAGGCGTACGACCAGGTTCGCGAGCTCTGCATCTTCCTCCTCAACGGCCTCACCCTCCCGCCGGAGAAGGCCCTCGCCGTCTACATCCAGTCGCCGGGCTCGCCCTTCGTCTTCTGCGGCGCCGTCACGGTGGCGCGCCCCTCCGCCGTCCTTCCCCTCGCGTGGCCGGAGCCCGGCGCCGCCGGACCGCTGCAGCTGACGGCGGACGCGCAGCCGCTGTCGGCGAAGATCGGCGTGTCGGTGGAGGATCTGGCGTCGCTGCCGTCGCTCGACGCCATGGCGGAGAAGCGAATCGAAGGGTTGGCGATGAAGGTCGGAGAGAACCTCTTCAATTTCATGCAATCGTTCTGTGGTGTTGATGGGTCCAAGTTGGTTGTTCCCATGGATATATTGGACCGCTGGTTCAAGAAGTTTCAGGAACGGGCCAAGCGTGACCCTGAATACTTGAAGGGTTTCGCTTTGTGAGCCGAATATTTTTTATATATTTAATTTTAACGGTGTAAGATGATAATGATAGAAATAGAAATAGGAGCTTATCTTGTGTTGTGATTCTAATTTCAAAAAGTGTATTTCTGTGAAAAAACCTGCTTCAGTTCATGATTTTGTGTTTTGAGAGGAGATTTTGTTATTTAGGAGAGTGGGAGGAATTGAAGTTGAAGTGTTTAATTGATGAAAATTAAGGATTCATCATGGTTTAGGGCCTGGAAGTGTGATCTGTGTTTGAATTTTGAAGGTTCTAACAATTTTGTTGTGTGTTTGGTTTATAATTGTCACAACTTTCAAGACACTTCAAGTAGAAGTTTGTGTCTTGTTGCCATGAGTCAAATTGATTTTTGAGCATACTCTGGTTGTGTTTGAACTTTGAAGGTTCTAACAATGTTGTTGTGTAGATGATGACGATGGCAGAGGGGTGGTATGAAGGTTAATAATTTTTAATATTTGTTGATACTAGTGAATTTATTATGGTTTTTTCTTGGGGGGAAAGGATGATTTTGGTAGTAGTACTGAAACATAGAATGGGTTAAGTTAAATGGCTCGGGCGACATTGCTATCATTGGACTCCTCATGGTGGGTGCTAGTTCTGTCTTGTAAGTTTTTTTCTGAAATCATCTTCATATGATTTGGTGAAAGCAAAATCATGAATGTGTGCAATATGCTCCTGCATCCTTGGGAGGCATATGGGAGAGTCCTATCCTAGCATAAATAAATCATCAATTGACTTCCTTACGTATCATCCTTTCTCATATTTAGCCTCTAAAGTAATAGATTTATTTAAGGAATTCTTCAAGTATGTTTTACTTACATTCAGGATATATTTGATGGATTTTCAATATTTGGGAGCCTATTTATTATAGTTTAGCCAGATTCAATCTGTGATTCTATCCCAATTTTGTTCTACAATTGAAGTTTTAAGGGATGAACTAGTTAGGTTGGCTGATTTTCAGTTGGTCATGCCTATGATTCTTTTGGCTCATCGCTTAGAAAAATATCATATTATGCAAGCTTAAGATGATCTCAAAAAATGGGTGGCTTGTTCATATCCTAATGAGTAATGACAAACAAATCTGTTTACATAGGATCATGGATGCATTTGGGTGTATAACCGAACTAAACAAGCAGCGCGTGGTTTAACATGAATATCTTTACTACAAAAAAAATAGAAGCATAAATTAAGGTTCGGCTTCTAAATTAATTATGGGATTGCTTAAATTTGGAAAGTTAGCTAAAATTAACATTTTAGCATCTGCATTTTATAGGTTAAGTGTTTATTTTATAGGTTAAGTGTTTATTTTATAATTAAAATATATAATAAATTACATATACAAAAATGAATATCATGTAGAAATAAATAGTATATCTGATCTTAAAATTTGTATAAATAAATATTTGTAAACATGAGTTATATTTTATATTTAAGATAAATAATTTATATTATGTCACAATTATATGAACTATATTTTAAATTTAAAATAAATAATTTATGTTGTGATATAGTTATTTCTATTTATTGATAAGCTTTTTTTTAAATATTATGATTTAATTAGAAAATAAGTATAAAATTATACTTTCGTATAAAATAATCGTTCATATTTAATATATATATATATATATATATATATGTGTTTCAGCGATAGGGGTTCATCCACGCTTAAGCAAGGTCAGGGGTTCGAATCCTACCTTGTGTATGCAGTCGTGTTAAATTTTGGGGCCAGCTATCCCACTCTTTGAGGTGTCTCCAACGTAGCGAGAAGATTAGTCACTGCTATCGTCCCTGGATGCTCCAGGGACGAACTAAAAAAAAAATAGATTAAACAAAATAAATTGAAGTTGAATATTTAACTTTGATAAGTTAGGGTTTGATGGGATGTTTTCAGTTTTAACTTTTAATAATTATTATTAATTTTAGTTTTAAAAATTATAGCTAATGTTTAAATTAATAAAATTTACAAAAAAAAATTTAGTTTTTAAAAATTAGTTTTATTATTTAGTATTTTAATTTTAAAATAAGTTCATTTTGAAAGATTTATCTTAAATTATTTATTAAGAGAATATTTATGTATAATAATAATAATAGTGTTAATTATGATAATGATATCATAAAACAAAAGTGTGTTTATGTGATGAAGTTTATTACTATGTGTTGATTATGATGGTGATGAGGTGAGAATATTTATTAATATAAGAACATAAAAATAATTAATAATAAATTTTAGATTTTATAATTTTTTTAGAGAGAATAAATGCGTTAAATTAAATAATTGTAAATTAAATTATTACATATCATGGTTGTTATAATTTTCTTGATTATTATTGTTATTATAGTTATTATAACTATCACCATTATTATTGTTATTATATAACTTGTCAAATAGGATTTTATTATAATGAATAGATAAAAAATAAATGAGAGTAATGTGTACATCTAGACAAATCATAAATGTGAAATACAAACTATTCATTTTCTTTTTTCTTTTATACTTAGAGTTCAAATTTGGATAAGACAAAAAAAAAAAATTCAATCTTAATAAACAGAAGTGAAAAATCTTAATCAGCTATGTCACTCTTGCAGAATGCATTAATTTTCTTAACTGTGGAGATTATTTAATATACTTTTATGCACTTTAAAAGAGTCAATTTTTTTTAATATTGAAAATTATTAATTAAATTTATTATAAGTGAGGATTATGAAATAGAAGCAATTGGAGGTCCAGATATTCAGCCATTTGTGCATGACCGTAGTACTAAATTAGGGAAGAGATAGAGATAGCAGGTCCATTAGGCCTGTTCTATGTCGTTCCCGATTGAGCCTATTAATATGGATCCCTAAGTCATACGTTATTGGGTTGATTCTAAGGGCAGGTCCATCACTTCAAGTCCATTTTTCATCACTTGGGCTATTCTGATTTATCACTGGACCAAGAAAAAACATGTTCTGATTTGTGTTGGCAGAAAAAAGGGGAAAAGATAAAGAGAGCACACTTTATTGTTTATACCACATTTTACACGTGTTTGCAATAACATAAAAGAGAAATGATATTAACATATTTTGTTAAATATTCTTTTGAATATAGTGTTTATTATTGATTGAAATGAGTTAAAATTTATAATTTTTAAGATCTAATTTATTATTTATCGAGTCTCTCCTAATTTTTAAGATTTTAAATAAATTTTAACCAACAATAAAGTCATAATAAAAAGAGAATAGTGAACTTTTTTTAATATTAAATACACATACATAAAAAAAACTAAAATTTAAGATTATTATAATCTTAATTAATTTAATATGAATTTATTAACTTTTAAAATCTGATTTTTTACATAATTATCAATATATAAAGATAAAGCGCCTTAGTTTTAACAGAATTCTTGGTCATTTTTTTTTAGTAAATTCATTTCAATAATTTTAATTTTTTTTATGAATCTTCAAAGTATCATGTCTTTAATTAATTAAGTCTTAATCAATATAATAATATATTCAAATTGTTAATAAATTTTTATCTAATTTAGAAAATAACTGTACACATTTCATTTCTTAAATAAATTATTTATTGAAATTTAAATTATACAATGTATCAAAAACTGGATAGTTATTGCGACAATTAACTTGTTCATTTGATTAATTGTTATCGGCAATTGAAATAACAATTAATCATAAAAAGAATTTCAAATTATTAAAAGAGGAGTGATAGTATAAAAGAACTTTATGGACATTCCATCTAACACATTTCCTATTACCGACTGAAATTGATTGGAACCCACGAAAAAAATTCATCAAAATAAAAAGTGAGTCTTACAGAAAAAAGTTGTTATTATCTATAAAAGTGAGTTATGTAGAGTGTGTTAAAAATGTTACTAGTATTTTCTCCTATAAAAGTGCTTGAGACATGTTGCAACTAAAAAATAAACTTCAAATACTTTTTTTGTCGTTATGATTTCATGATATATAGTTTTGGTTCTTAATTTTTTATATATATTATAAATTTGATCTTCATAGATATCAAAATTAAACAATATTGATTCACTATTAATATTTTATTCAAAATTAAACAAAAAAAATTGTTGATTTATCTATATGACTAATATTACTTAATAGTCATTTATTCATTTTAATTTTCATGTAAGGAACAACACTTTTTTTTTATTACAAATATGTTGTATTTTTAATTAAACTTCATTATCTATTAAAATAATGTTATTTTTAATTTTTAAATATTAAATATTGCCTTACGTGACTAATTAATTACAAACAGTATAACTTCCAACTTACAAACACTTGTTAATGTTTTTTGTTTAATTTTGAATAAAAAGTTAAAAACGAATCAATTTTACATTGTTTAATTTTAAAAATTAAGGAGCCAAATTTGTAATAAAAATTTCTTGAGACTAAAAATACACATTTGCAAAACTATAAAGAGTAAAAGTAGATTTAAGAGAAACAAATATAAAGTGGTAAATTTCCAAAAGGAAAAGAAGACCAAAAATTATGAATTATATAAACTATAAAAGTGAGAAGGACTAAACAAGATGATTCTTTATGAGGCAAAGTCATAGCTAGTTATAGGGTTTCAATGAGGACCATTTGTAGGGGTACACCGTAGCCCCCAAAGTCCATGTTAAAAAGATGTTAAAGAGGCAAAGTCAATTGTCTCATTCCTTATCCCATTCTCTTTTGTTCAATATTGTTTCTTCCTTTAACCTCGTGGTAGAGATTAGTCATTATTGACATTAAATTTTCCAACAACCTGATGGTAATGTCACTATGAAAGCATGTAGGTACTTAGTCCTTAACTAATAGTACACATACCATTGTCAAAAGCAAATCTCACTCCATTTATATTAACAAGACCCCGCAATGTAGAAAGTAATAGATGAGTAAACTCTTTGGTTCAAGCACTTGGGGGAGGCCTTCTAATAATTGTTGGGTCGACTAGGCCACCCCATGTGTTCTCTACCACCTTCTTGGCCATCAAAATTATATATTATTATATATTAAGACAAGTAACTATGTTTTGGATTGAGTATGTGAAAGTTAAGAGTATAGAAGCTTGGTGGGTGACGTGGAAGGTTATTGGTTGGGAAAAAGGAAGTGATAAATGAAGAAAGTGGAAAAGAAATGAGAGTATAGCAATGGCAATGTGTAGAATGAAAGAGTTGGAGACTACGGAAACAGAGCGCGCTTTAAATGCGGGGCAGACAACAGAGTCAGCGACTTTCGTGAAAGACAATGTCAGGGCCATGATGTGAAAGCTCACTCCCACACACACACATGCATGCACACGCTTATCAGTTATATATGCCATCCATTTTATTTCTAATTATCTAATAAACTCAATTAGTAC